GCTGACTGAGCCAGCGACCACGCCCATCACAAGCTGCAAAGTGACGGGTCGTGTGTCTCTTTCCTGCGCGTTTTGGCAGCGCCTTGCATGCTCAGAATTCCAAAGGAAGCCTAGTTGTCCTTTCAGTCGAGCGACTTCATGAGCCAGGCCAGCAAACTGAAGGGATTCGCCGCGCGCTAATGATCTCACCATACACAAACACAAACTGCACAATCTTCTGAATAGCCCAGCGAGTATCGCTACTAATATAGGGCTGTATGCCCAAAAATTGATATAGAATATTGTCAGGAAAGCACCGCCAATGGTTTACCAAAGTTGCACTTATTGATTGGTGTGTATAAAAACACCCAACCAGTCGCTTGCTTTCTCCTCAGGGCTATGTACACTGTCCAGTGATATTAAAACGTCATTGGAGTATACTCTGATGTCCAACATAGCTATGTCTATGTCTTTATGACTGGGAATGGTCAACATACTTTTCTCCGACAGTTTTCCAACCATGGCACAACTGCACTACTTGCGCCTTTGTCGTAGAGTGTCCTTTTCCATTTCCCCATATCAAGTTTGGATTTCCTTTGACTGGGGCAGGGAGACAATCTGCTTGTGCACACTTTGGGGGAGGGGTGTGTATGCTAAAATTCGAGTTACCACATTTTTGACTCTTGCTAATTGCAAGGGCAAGTCTATGCCACTGTATTTGCTGCCAGAGGAACCCTTTCTTTTTTATAGTGACCGCCGGGTTTTCCTTACAGTTTCACCTTTCCCTAAGAGTGATTTAGTCTTACTGTGCCAGATGGAGTGAAAGAAAACCACTCAACTTAGAGCAAGCTTGGTTTTTACGTTTACGTTTACGTTTTCACTTTTACGTTTTTATGCGTAAAAACGTAAATTTGCAAAAGGCCCTATTTTACCGGCTATTTTTACATTCTTGCGGCTCCCTTGGACGCCCATATTACGTGATGAAAGTTGTGTACAATTATCAGTCCTCCGCCATATCCAGCACCTGCAACACAGTGTCCACCTCGCCCTTGGCAAGGGCGATGATGGTGCTTAACAAAAACTCCTTTCCTTCCCCTTCCAGGGCATCTGGCTGCCACTCTCCGGACTCCGCAAGTCTGTATGTACTTTCCTTATGTACACCGGGCAGTTTTTACGTTGTACTTACGTATTTTTACGCATTTTTATGCATAAAAACGTAAAAACTGTTTTTACACATAAAGACGTAAATACGATCAGTTTTTACGGCGTAAAAACCAAGCCTGACTTAGAGCGGGTTAGAGCAGTATGGCGACGAATTCACAACATGTGAATCGCAGTTGTGGCCTTCGCATGGATCCTGCCCCCTATCTGGATCCTCCATCCGCTTTTCAATATTCGCACAACTTACTAGAACTAGTATCACTTACCCGCATGTGACACAACATGACGATCCCTCTTACCAACCAGATTCAGCTCTCGAATTCCCTTTCCAGGGAGGAGGGATGCCTTTTAGTTTCTAATGATGGGTTTGCGCAGTGATTCATCACTCACACACTCAATTCAAGCCCAACAATCTGGGCATATACACCGAATTGACAACCACCAAATATTGTTACACTTGAATCCAGATCTTACAAAATGTCAACGTTAATCTGCCAATAAGCACCATGTGGTGCAAGGGGTGCCCGGTCACTAGGGGCTAGAATAATAAGATGACAGACCCCTCCCTATTTATAGAACAACCAGCTATTCCACAGATCTCCAGAACATTATAAGATCCTCCTTGCTCAACCAATTGATCCCTTAGCTATCACATCACCACCGACCTCTCCCAAACCTTCCATACTTTCAATACTTTATAACCACAATTGCCCCACGGTTTCTCTGATTAGATCAGCGCCCTTCTGGTTCGATTCCATGACCTCCCATCTAATCACACACGCGCCGTGCGTCCCGCTACCCACCATTCACCTGAGCCTGCCCTCGTTTGCTCCCCCATGCCTCTGCAGTGGGCGTTAGTGCCTCGTTCGCACTCCCTATTGCTAAGCAGGCCTTCGCATCCAGGCCACGCCTAGTTGTCCAACTCGTCATGGATCCCAGCGTCTCTTGCACTCATCACAGCCCTTTGTCAGCATGTATATTCCATGCATGGTGATGCAGGCCGCTGCCATGCAAGTAGTGCAATGCAGCCCATGCGATTCCGCCATCTTCATTGCTATCACCAAGCCTTGGCAGCCACGCTCTCGCACCCATGTTTGAGCACAATGCTGCATGCCGCCACCGCCGCATGTATGGCACTGAGGCAACTCGGTGCCCAACGTTGCCATAAGATATTCCAGGTTACCATAACACATGATGGTGCATAGCAACATTGAATCCGCACCCCAAGGTTCCATTGAGGCTCATAGCTATGCATTCTGGCTGGCCGATCGGCTCTACGGTTATCTTCATTACTATTTTGTGTTCCATCCAGGTACTTATCTTGTATTTTGTTTGTTCCAGGACAAGCCATACCTTCCCCATCTTCAAAATATCAAGGAACTCCAGTAGTGGCAATTTTTGCCAACAAAGACAAGTATCCACAATGGCACCCGGCATGACCACACAACATCATTTAGGATTATCATAGTTGAAAGACTTGGATGCGCCCAACGGAGAGGGGTGTCACTGGCGCATTTCCTTTGCTCCTCTGGATAGCCCCTCACAATGTATTGCTTCCATTGTGTGAGCCAATGCTGCCCCCTCCCTTCTAGTGCCGGCTCCAAAAGTCACCGCAAACGGCTCCAAACCGCCAAAGAACACGTGCAATCGGCAAAGATGTGACCCCTGGCATTGAGCGCCGCGCTGAAGGATCGGCAAGTGCTCGGCGCCACGAAATGGTACATTCATGGACAGAACTTGCTACTGGCATGTGAACCATGAAAACTATGCGATTGTTACGGGACCTAGACTTAACGGGTTCTGGGTCCAAAGCGCGGAACTTGGTAGTGCCAAAGATGCATTCTTGTGCCATGTTCTAGCAATTCTGGAGTATATACATGTTGTGTGAGTGACATCTGCGGTGTTGATGCCTATCTACATAATACTTTGCAGTTGATGCAGCCCCATCCTCGCTGCTCGAAAAGACCTTTCCAGGTTGACGAAAAAAAGGATGCAATACTTTGGGAACCTGTTTTGATCAGTCTGTCTTGTGATTTTGCAGCCTCAAAGATCGGGAGAGGAGGAAACACCATTGTTTACCACTGGCAGCTGCACCTGAGTCCATGGAGAGGTCCTTTGCTGAGCAGGGTGTTTGAGACGTTGTCAGTCTAAACCTTTGGGGCTGAAATGTTGCCCAGGTTATTCTGGACCCTCAACGCGCGTCAACAATCTGGGTCAGACGCGGCTGATTCAAAAGTTCCTGGGACCTCTGCCTTGTCACCACAGCCCAGAGTCCCTATCTCTTGTTGTCTTGCCATTCGTGTTGCTCATGTCGTGTGTGCTCTGCTCATCGCACTGGTGGACTCTACATGATCATCGCACAGTATGGAAAGAACCTCATGCACACTTGCCCAGGTGCGGGTCCCATTGTGTGACCTGTTTCTGTCAACACACATGAACAGGAACACATTCGTTACGCCTGTGTGGCGCACCCACCGTCCCTTGGGGCCTTCGGCACTCTCCCTGGCCTGCGGGTCCGGCAGCTGCTCGGCCGTTTCAGCCGTTACTCTCCGACCATTTCCCTTAGAGACACTCTGACATTGATAGGGCTTCCCTCAGGGCCACCGGCCATCCCATACCGGGTGCAGCCACCCGCGACCTCACTCTTCCCCTTGCGTGGTGTGACGTCACGGGGCCCTGTGGGCCATGGCAGTGATATCACTGTCGGCCCACGGCCGTTCGCAAGTCGTACATCGGTGCAGGAGCAGCGCTGCCCACCCCTTTGCCGCCCAGGCGTCCCCCCTCGCCCTTGCCCCGCTTGAGACTGTGTTCCCGCGTCGGGCGCGGCCACAGCTGCCTGGAAGCGCCTGCAAAAAGGTGTGGCTGCACTCGGAGGCGCCCATCTCGCTGAGGGCGGCGGGGGTCCCCTTGCCTGCGCTGCCGCCGCTCGGGCGGCCAGGAGGGTTGGGGGCCAATCCGCGAGGTGAGGGGAAGGGACGTGGCATCGATTGCGTGGCGGAATGGTTGAGCGTTCCCGGGGGGGGGGGGGGCAGCCAGGAAGATGAACAAGTTGAGTTTTGCGACGCGCAGCTGCCGGCCAGCAGCCGCGGGGTGTGGGCGGGGGTTGGTGGGGCCGGTGGCGAACCGACGGCAGGTCCGTTTCCTGGGAGGTTCCCCGAATACCGGGGATTGCGGCTTGTGGACCGGGACGCTTTTGAGGGTGTCGGAGCTGCGAGTGGTGCATGCGCGGGCTTGTTTGTACGTGTGGGGCCCCGGGCTCGTTGTTCCGTTGGGAAATGACGCGGGGCCTCGTAATCTGGGCTGGGGATCCCAGCGGACGCCCGCGTCATGGCCGCCTTGTGGGGTGGATATTCCGGTCCAGAATCTATCGGGGCTGAAGCTGTTGGGGGCCCCCTGGTGCCTGATGGGACTGTTGGGCTACGTGACCTTCGGTCGGTGTTGACCCAGATCACTCCGAGCTCTTGGACATCCCTTTGGCACCAGGGGCCCAAAATTGCGCTGCCCGTGCAGTTTCCAGAGTACGTGACGACTTGTCCTTGCATTGGCGATGCCGCCCTGCAAATTGCAGGCATTGATGTGCAACGGCCAGTGTGTCCGTTTTGGGCAGTGTTGCTGGTCTAAGACTTCCGCTTTGCACTCTGTTTCGGCTAACAGTTATTTTTGCGGCACTGTCTGATTGTTTGGATGCAGAAATGTACGGTACAGGTGCCACAACGACCACGTTGCAGCACATTACGTGTGAGGATAACTTGGTTCGTTCTTCTGCTTGAAAAACTCCTTGCTAAACTGGCCATCCCATGGATTGGCTGACATCACAGCAGTCCTGGATTTTCAACAAGTTGTGTGGGCTGCAGGGCAAGATGCCCACCAAAGAAGAACCTCCACAAGAAGATGTGCTTCAAGAAAGCACCACCAGCTTCGTAGAAAACAGTGAACGTGCACAGCTCACTGTTGATTCTTACGAAGGAGGGAACCGATGGTACACAATAGCAATTGTGACATTCGGGGTGCTTTGGGTAGGTTGACAGTTTGATTGCAATGGGTGGGTGGACGCTAATCACACCAGGTGCTTTTCATCCATGAATGTGGCACCCAGTGTGGATGTACTTCAAGGATGACTACAAGATGACTACAAGGCTGCGCAAGCACCAGGCGTAGACATATGACGGTGATAGATATGGCATGCCTCTGGTGGCCATGGAATGCTGAGCGGACTTCAACCAGCTTGTGCTCTCCAAATTTACTGATATTCTTCAAGACAACGCATGTTGAGCAACTTTTTAGCATCCAGGCAGACACTGCCACACACCACAATATCCATTTTATTGTCACATGTCCACACCATATGTGTGTCAGCAGCATGGTCACTTTCCTGATTATGGGATTTGACAAAGGTCTTCCTATCCCCAGGTACTAGCCTACAGAACAGCTGTTTCATGGCTTTGTCGCTTGCATACATTGGGTCCTCACGTCATGAGCAGTGTTTTATGTGTCTGTCTGGCACGGCAGTAATGGTAGCGTCTGTGGCTCTTTTCACGGCTGCCTCTCGCTTTTCCAGCAGGACTTAAACCTGTTGTGCGAGCAAGGGGCACAACATCATGGGGGGACCAACCCTTCGCTTCTGCACATTGTCCATCGTTGCCTGACAATTGATTGGTTAGTTAAATTCCAGATTCCCCAGTCACAAAAGCAGCCAGGACAACCAAGCTCCTCCTTGTGGCTTGCAAGCGATGTTCAGCACAGGGACACCAAGTCTGTGCTTGCTCAGTGTCCCACGATCGTAGTTCTGCATGCCATGGAAAGGGCAGTGCTCGGCCACATTCTGCTGAACGTGATCGATGAAGATTCACAACTCTTGCTGTTGCCATTCATGGTTGTTCACAGTTGGTCTTTGTGGAGGCTGAGCATGGGCTCCTTGACGAGCAGACAGAGGACAAGGTCATCGTCACCAAGAACTTTGTGTACAACTTCATCATACTGGTGGTGTGGGCTGCGGTGGATGGCTTCATGGTCTTTTTGGCTCTGTTGCCCAATCTGAAAATCAGCAGAGGTACATGCTGGTAACCTGTGGCCCCTGTTCTCTGCCTTGTCTCAGATGTAAAGGCAGCACAAAGTGCAGATTGAGCAAATGAAATTGCGATTTAATGCCAATTCGCCTGATGGTGTGAGATGTTGTGACTGGATTTGCAACTTCTCTTTCTACAGCATCTGTCGTCCTGCATCGCCCAGACAGGAAAAGGGCTGTGCTTTGCCATTCTTGACAGTTGCACTCACAGCAGATTGCTCAGAGGCTGTTGCTCTTGGATTCAATCGTTGTCCATCATTGCAGTCGATGCCGCGTTGGGTGATCATTCAATCATGGTCCTTTGTTGTGGAAAATGGCAGAGGTTGCAAATAGCTGCATTGTTGTTCGTTGTGCATTTAGAGGTTATTGAACACGGAGTGACACTTGCCATTGGATACCACTCACGAATTTGTTGCTGTTGCTTTGTGATTGCTTTCGTGACTCATCCATCAGCCATGGTCAGATGCACCTGCCCGTCCACGGTGCACTTCATCTCCACTTGTTGCCATGCGAACAAAAGTGTTTTAGGTGTGGGAGCAGCCAAATTTGGTAGCAGAATGTCCACACGCCAGGAACATACTTAGTGTGCTTGAGTAACTATCATGCTTTCTTACTTGAGAATGTCTAGTCCATATGCTGTGTGCAGGCTTTTGGTTCCACCTGGGAGGTCATGCAGATGAACGACTGTAAGTCTCTTTGTACCTTGCAGGGCACAGCGTGGGGTACCTTCGCTCGCTCCTGGTCATAGCTCTCTCCAGTTTGGTGGCCATGAACTTTGGCACTGCATTGCTTGTGTTCTTTGGCCACAAGAAATTCACCAAACGTCACAGTGACGTTGTTCATGAGAATAGAGATCCAGATTTGGATGAAGGGAACAGCACATCACCAGAAGCGCACTACTATGCCTTGGTTGCCATCTTAGTTTCGATCGTTGTCGTGGACATCATGTTCTTCACCACCATCTGGGACAAGTACATGGACTCTTGGTATACCTTTTGCTGTGGCATTGTGGGTGCGGGTGGCGTCATACATCAGAACTTTGAGCAATTCAGGACAACCACCATGCACCATGTCATCAATTGGAGAGGGAGCCTCACTGCCATGTGCCGTTCTTGTGCTGGCACTGTGCACACGTCGCTCAGTGCACTTCGTCGAAAGTGCGCAGGTACTTTGATGAGGTCGGGTGGTCACAGGCCGCATGTTGTTTGTCTCAGGGCTAAAAAGTGCAGACGCCATCAGCATCATATTCGTTTGATACAAGCTGTCATGAAATGACTGCATCTATCAAGCAAAGGAAAAGCACAGCCCTTGCAACTGACTGGTGATGTTGGGCAATGAATCCACAGGGTTGTTTGAAACAGTTTGTGCATGTTTACTTGTGAGTGTAAATGTCACAAATGCCGGCTGTTCCCTGCAGGTGCGAGTGAAGTTATTGATTCAATGTCGCACTGTGAGCCAACCTGAAATCCCACCACAGTGTTCATGACCCAGCCTTGAGCCCAGCCATTTGTGCTGTGTCCAAATCTACCTGACTGAAGATAACAAAGGCCATTCAGCAAGTTTTCCGCGTTCTCAGCAGATCGGAACAAGAAACAAAGTCATGGGGATTCACTTTGACCTTCGACACATTGTAGGTGTCTGGGCATGTATTGTCACTGTCAACAGATGAAGACAGAGGCATCAAAATAGGAGGTCAAAGTCAGGGAGAGATTTTGAGAGTTTAGGTGCTGCAGCATGCGATGCTTGTTGTTGTGTTTGTTGTGCGCAATGAATGCTTTTCACTCGGGCAACCAAACGGTGCTGCTGCATTGAATACACATTTGGCACCTGCGGAATGCTTTGGCAAACACTGCAAAAACGCCATACTGTTGCAGCAGAGGCAGACAGGGAGCACTGCATTGATAAACATTTTGCTGTCCCGTGCAGCTTGCGGCTGCCAAGTACTACTCCAAGATCTGAACTTTGTGGCATTGTGAGACTCCTGCTCCAGCCTCCCTTGCCAGCCTTGGATTGGATCTGATAGATGAAAGCCACATCAAACAACTGTGCACTTCCAAGCACAGTCCCTAACCAACCCTGATTTGCCACATGGCATTGATCAGTTGTGGATGTTTGCAGTGCTTGATGTTGGTTATTTCATAGTATTGCTAAATCCCCTGGGTGTTGCAGCAGGCTGCGGTACATGTTCCCTCTGCTCGTTGCCATGCTTGGCACACCCCTGCTCTGCATGTTTGCCATATGCTGCAACAAACCTATGCCACTGCAGTCAAGGATGTGTGCATGTGCTTTGAAGTTTTGTTGGGAAAAGAGAGGCTACGTTGGGAACATATCACTTCCTGGAAGCTTGTTCACTGACATATGTCCTGATTATGTTGAGCCTGAACTTTCTCTGCAGGGGGTGCCAGCCACTGCAAGTGGTTGGTGTACGAAAGGATGCAGCAATGGAGGTCAAGAGGAGATTCAAGAAGAGGGCAAAGTTGGATATCAGGTCCCTGGCGTTGGTTTTATGAACAACTGACCAAAAGGTGGAACTCCATCAAGGAGGAAAGCAACTACAAGCACTCTGGATGGATGGTGTCAGCTGTTGTCACTAGTGGAATCGTGCTAATCTACGTGTACCTTCGAATGGGCGGGTTTTGGCGTCACTTTGTGCAAGATGTGTACACACCGTATAGACGGTATGTTGCGACGTTCAGATTGATGCTGTGGGTATTTGCAGGCATTCAAATACTCAATGCAAGTGAATGCGATGCCAGTGAAGAATAGAGTGCAATGGCAGCTCACACATGTTCTACTTGCAACATCAGGCACCCCAACCTACTGTCCTGTAAATTTGGTGTTTGTGCACAGTTGTTTGCTGCTTCTTTGAACAGCAGGAGGCATTGACAATGCGGGCCCATTCCAAAGCATAGAACCCCAGATTGAGGGGTCATGGACGAAGTGCATTTTATGGATATGGCGACGCCCGTTTGGGCTCTGTCATTCACATCTGCAAGCTAAGCTTCTGTGCTCTGGTGCAGGTGTGTTTCAGATAACTCAGTTCTGGTGAAAGAAATTCTGTCAGCAAGAGGTTTTGGCGATTTCGCCTTCTTTCACTCCTTTGTTTTTGGAGAATGGCCGCCAAATGGAACTAACATCAATGATTTCTACTCAGAGCTCGCCCAAAACTTCACGGTAGCCTTCGATGAGCCTGAGATTAAAAATGATACATGCCACCTGCCAGGATATCTCAACGCCCTTTTCAGCATGGTACGTGTTCACATATTCATCTTGGAACCTCCACGGAACAGTACTCAGCAAGTGTTGCAAAGGCCTCATCGACTGCAAGGAATTGGCAGCGCCTGATCACCTGAGTGAAATAGACACAAGCACACAGGCCGGTGTGTCGTTGTCCTTGCCAATAAGGATACAGTCTTTCACTTGCTGATGGTGCATGTGTGTGATTGCAACCAGAAAATATGTAACGGCAATGTGCCCTCAAACCTTCCAAGCTGATAATGGGCACAATCCCATACACAGGATGTCCCTATTGCAAGTTCACCATGATGCAACTCGAAACTAAAGTCCTATTTGCATCCATTTAGGAACTGCTTGTGTCATTCGCTGTTTCTCCAGTAGCCATTGGTTTGCGGTGTTGCCCTGCTCACCTGCAAGTTTCATCTCTAGTTCTCAATGTCCCACAGGCATGGGTGTCAATGAGTTTTCGAAATGAAAAGTGTGACAATCGTTCATTTCTGAGCTTGCAGCCTAAGGATGGGCATGAACCACCCCACAGTACCCTGTTACTTGTCAATTGCCACATGGCTTTGTGTTTCATGAGAAAAGAAGCAATTAGCACCAAATGGGCCCCAATCACATGGGCACATCATTTCGCTTGCACCTGACTTTGTGTGCAGGTGATTTTCTCAAAATTGCTATCGTTGCATTTCCTTGACACATGAAAGGTATTGCTGCCATTGCAAGTGCTGGCACTCTCAGGCACAGAGGTGATCATTGACGTTGCTGCCCACAGGTGGGAAATAGGATGGAAGAAAATGGATATCATGAAGCACTGGATGGCGATTGCCGGGGAGGACAGCTCCCAGTGAACGGCACTGCCTCTGACTGCAGCATGAATGACCCAGTCAATGACTTCAAGGAGACGATCTTTGGGCTTGCTGTGCTGTACTTTGATGCTGTGTTGGTCAACTCGGAGTGGGCGATGCACGCAGGCTTCGGTGTCGGCTTAGTGATTGGCATGAATTCTCTGATTTCTGTGCTCGCGCAATACAAGTCACTTTCTCTGACACTGACCGAAGGGGTGATCGATGACGTTGCCCGCCCCGGGGGCAGCAAGAACTACCGTGAAAGGCAGCGTCAGGCGATGGAGAGGCTGCAAAAACTGCAGCTTCAATACACCAAGCTCAGCGAGCTCATCAAGGTTTGCATCTCTCCCAGTGGCCCAATATCAATTGGGCAAAACGCAACACTAGGCGCAATTGTTATGTATGCACTTGCTGGTTCTCCATCGGAGCTATGGACGTTCTAGCTCTGATTTGCATTTCCAGCATCGAGTCGCCGAAGCGATGAGTGATTGGTCTGTTACCAGTCACCTCAATGTCATTTTTATGCTTGGCTGTTCAGTTGCCACCTCTGTGGAACTCACAAATTGGCAGCAGCCCCTGATAATGTTTTGAGATGAACAGCTGTGCAGCCACAGTGGCATGAGGTTTTAACAATGTGCTTAACAGGGAGTTACTCCTGGAAGGACTGAGCATCAACAAGACCCTGACACATCAGCAATATGTTGCCTGGCATCAAGATATGCAGTTTGTCCATTTTCATCTGCTCCGTCCCAGTAGCTAATGTGCTGGGGGAGCATATACAGCAGGCCCATTCTATAGCGGTCTATATATGTGACCATTGTCTAGTGGAACAGAAATAACCATGTGCACTGTGTGTGCCGTGTATTCCAGGAATACCCATTGAATTCAACAGTTCTGTTTTTTGGCATACTGCTGAGCACCGCAGTTCTGCAACTGGTGGTCACTGGCGCCACAGCAACTTTGCTCATCTCAACGTTTGCTGCGCTGCCTGAGGCCTTCAACCTCCTGCAACCTGTGTTAACCTTCATCATAGCATGGTTTGTCATAGCAGTCGTGGATAGTCTTATACTACAGGTGGGTTGGTGGAAAGGGATGGGGGTGAGGTGGGGTGGGGGATGGGGGTTGCTGTACTTTGGACACCTGACTTCTGAATCTGTGCACACAGCTGTGTGCGGCGTGTCATAGAATGTGTTGATGAATGGGTCCAAAGAAGGACAAAAAGTGCCTGAGTGTGAGCGTCAACCCAAAGGGTCAGAAGCATGTGCATCCACTGTTGAAGCAGTCAGAACGTATTGTCGGAGTTGATGCTGCATATTCATGATTTATCATTCTGATGCTTGTTTCACAAGCATTTGCTGCACCAGTTCTTTTCTTTTTTGTACAGTTCCGCATCACCAAAGCACACACCCAAAGCACCTGATACATGCGTACTAATTTGCTCTCTTCTCCGCCCGCATCTGATCATGAATGTTTTCGTTGCCTAAATTGCAGCACCCAAATGACAAGCAACCTTGCAAGCGTGGCAAACCTGGAACAATGTCCTGTGTGGCCAGCCAGATGCCTGGGAACTTGCAATTGATTCGTGAAGTGGTCATCGCATGGCCTTTGATTCAATGCATCGATTTTCTGCTTTCGTGACAATGCTCAAAAGCCGACAAGGCATGAGTCCAGTGATTGGGACTTTGCAGTGCACGATGTGTTGGCCTGATTTGGCCATGGCTGCAAGATTTGTCTGCTTGTGCAATTCGGACCATTCTCAACAAATCAGCGCGCCTTGAATTACTGACCCAACTCGTGTGGAATGAGTATTCAATTCACTCTTCAGTGGTGCTGAGTGATCAACTGGTTGACTGGCCACTGTGGTTCGCTCTGCAGGAGTGGATGATTGAGCGTGTGCTGACTGAAAACTACAGGCTGAAGCACCCCAACGTGTGGATCCTGTACACACTTGTGTACACCATGCTCAACCTTGTGCTTGGGATTCTGTATGCTGTGTGGCGACTATTTTTACTCGTTGTGTTGTCGTTGTCACGCTTCAACCGACTGGATCGATCACTCTTTCCATCCTGGCAGTCACTCGACCAGGTGGGCATCCTAATGCTGGTAAAAAGTGGTACAAAAGCATACTGATAAATTTGCCACATGTGGTGTTGCCTTGAATTCTGGTCTGAAAGATGCATGATTGGCAGTGATTTTCACATTTAACGAAGTTGTGTAATGTGGACGTTGCAATGTCATTAACATGGATAAGCCAGCATTCTGTACATCCTCACAACAAGCCTCGGCAGGGTGCACCAGCTTATCAATGGTTGACAGTGTCCACATGTGCAATGGATTGTGCTATGTGCCAGGAATTAGCACCTGCACAGCAGTGGTTGTGCTGCACCTAGCCATCGTGGCAGCTTGGAATCCACTGATTTCCTGGCGAACGTCATATTGCTTATTTCTTCAGTCCAGCCGTTTTTGATTCATGCACATCCAGCCTGGTCTGGTGCTGAGGGTTGCGAGTGCAAGAGTGAGATTCAGATTTTTTGGTGGAATGAATGGAGCCTTGAGAGAAAAGACCCAACCCAATAGCAGGTTCATCTCTCCTAGATTGTAAAGTCACTGATGCAATCATATATCACATATAGTTCTAGTCATCAGTATGCGCTTGCCATGGTCTACTGCGTATCCCATTGCTACCAAGAAGTATTTGTGAATCAGCTTTTGGTTGTTCCAGCCGCTCATGTAACCATAACCTTCAGAAGTGCCATGAGCTGTGAGGTATGCTGCTGCTTCTTCAGGGCCACAATGCCTTCTTTTCAATGGTTTTGATGCACTACACTATACAGAGGAACTCCAGCTATTCCAGGGAGTCGATTTACAGGCGGAGAATGGAGGAAATAAAGTTGAGGATGGGCCGCACCTCAGTGGCAGGAAGCTCCCTTGGGCAGCGGCCATCACTTGAGCAGAGGCCCTCACGATCTCTTCCCTCGCAAGGTGTGAAGTTTAGCTTCGTATCATTGGCGAATAGTGGCACCGAAAATGGGTCAGAATTACCAAAAAATTGGTGTCTTGTGAATATCGGATGTGATGTTCATGATTCCAATCTTCACGACTACTGGCACATTAACATGGATGCAGTTAAATACAGTCGGAAGCCATTGCATTGGGACTTTGCCAGCGATCGTGATTGTTGGCTAATGTTGAAACACTGCCCGTGTGCTGCAAGCCAGTACTGAACACCCTCGTTGCATCCTCATCACTTCATCCAACGATCGAGCAGCCTTCAGAAAGTGTGACTTTGGGTGTCTGCCATCCACATCTTTGTATATTCAGATTGACAGCATGATATCTGTCTCTGGGCTGCATGCCGAATTGTGGATGGCTATGGTAATACAGCACAGCTATGCTTTGTGCACACTGCAGCAGTTCACTTTTCTTTTCCGAACGTGGCTACCATTCACTCAGTGTAATGGCTGCGCACCATATCTATGGTGGGGGTGGCTTTTGTATGACATTGCTCTACTTGTAGCGGCAAAGCGCTTTCCAACAGAAAAGGCAGCACAGTGTCGGAAAGCTGCCCATCTGGTACTGTGGGCACTCACTTTGTGCACATCTCCTTCAATTGCAGCCAGCGCAGGGGGCAACTCAGCAGGTGGGGCACGGCAGCCATCTGGGGCACTGTCTTCCCACACTCACTCTTCCTTGCCCACATTGCCAGAAAGAGTGCACTTGTTAGAAGATGGTCTGGAAGACTGTGAAGACTGCGTGCAAACATATCAGGAAGAAGCTCACGCACAGCCGCGGCATGTCCAGGTGATGCACATTAATTAAGTATCCACGGGTGGCATGAGCAGCATAAATGCGAACAACATGGTTGCCACATCTCCCAAGTCCCACATCGCACCCCAGCGTGAAGAGAGTAGCCTGCTGAAGTTCTTGCTTTCAACAGTGTTCAGTAAACTACACTCCATGCCACAGAGCTTGCACCACAATGCAAGGCATCGAAGTCCTGTTGTTGTGGTATTGTTCCAGCAGTGGTGATGAGCAAACAATGAGTAGCCAAGCCTATGGACGTTATGGCAATCGCTGAATTGACAGTTTCATACCAATGCCACTACAAGACGATGCAGGACAATGTGCACATCCACAAAGTAGTGTCTCAATTTGCTGACATAGGTATTGACCTCATTCTCCAGATTTTGGTACAGCTACTGGTTGATATTGTCCCTGCTGGAATTTGACTGGGGCTGCAATTTGCAATTTGTAAATTGCAGCCCCAATCAGCTTCCAGGAGGAATGGGGATGCAACACACCACATTGAATGTCATGGTTGCATCACAATTCCTCTTAACCTTGCACAGCACATAGTTTGTGGTGTTCAGAGCACTGATGCCACTTGAAGCTGTGCACAGCATGAGACCCATGTGTGGCATCCAACAAACGAATAAGTGTTCCTCACTGTGGCTACTCACCACTCACGCTCGCTTTAACATTGCGCATCACATGATCTTACCAAGTTTGGTGATGCAGTAGCAAGCCAGGTCTTGCAGCAAGCGGGGTCTTTCCATTGAGAGTGGATTATTTCATGCAACAAGTCACTGCCCAAATACCTATAAAATGGCAGGGAACAGCAACAAATGATTATTGTGAAATGTGCAGGCAGCCGAGATGCCACCACAGAGGTCCTTCTTCAGGTGGCTGGCGATGCGCAGGGCAGCAATGGCAAGCCACAGACAGTCTGGTGGTTCAGAAGCGGACCAGGCTAAATGGTCACCACTGGAGACAGCATGGGGCAATGCAGTTCCTGTCGAGAGACTTCGGCGGGCTATGTCTGAGGTTCCACTGACTGTTGCGGACAGTCTGTCGCGATATGGAGCTTCTGATTATTTGGCTGGGTTGAGAGTGGAGAGTGAGTTGGAAGCGATTTTGGGGCATCCAGTTCTTTCTCAACATATGTTGCAATTTTCTTGCAGCCATCATATCACTCATGAAGAACAGTGGTCTGTATGGTGTAAATAAACTGTACAAATTGCTCCTGTATGTGCACCATCACGTTTTGTGCATGGACTGTCTTGTGGCTGGCTTGCAGCACATAAGACAATCGTGGCAGCTTCCAGCTTTCCATAAGCAGAAGAGCTGAGTGCAAGTGAAACAGAGGAAGCTCAAAGAAATTAGAGGCCTGGAGAAATCCATTTCCATGTGCTAGATACTGAATGAATGAACACAAGCAGAGGCAGTTTAATTTTCTTGCGCATCGCAATAGTTCCTTTTGAACGTTTGCTCTTGGCCACGTACTTGCTCACATTGGCAGCGCAGCTGACTTTGATGTTTTCGCTGTCCTGCCCAACAAACAGGCTCAGATGGTGTCCCACTGCAGCCCATGGCACAGCCTGCCACGTCAACTGAGCAAGGACTCTCAGCACAGCACCCCACGGACTGGAGTCAGACTGGGACGCACACACAAGTCGGGGAAGCTGATGAAGATGACAGCCTACCTTTGGCGAAATCCATCAGCCTAACCCACTCCCTGAATGATGACTTCACTTTGGTCATGAGATCCCCACCGCCATGCACAGGCCCTGAAGATGTGCCAGACGCATATCTAGATCCATTCAGTGCGGGGAGCTTCCAGCGACGAGTGGCTGATCAGGTGCCCCAGCGCACTGCCCCAAGGAGCCTTGGTGGGATCAGAGGGTTAGATGAACTCATCAGCCTCGACTCTGCCCCAAATGCAGCGTCTGAATCGGATTTGCTCGTGAACGAGGCACTGTTTGGTGGCACCCTGTCTGAATCGTTGCCGACCCAAGCGGGAGGCCCATCAAGAAGGCCCCCTCTGCCGCCAAGCCTATCTGAAAACAGCCCTGAAAGGATGGGCGTACCTCCCAGTGACAGGTCTGTCAGAAGGGACCCGGTGGTGGCCGATCAAGGAATCGAACCTTCTTATTCAGCACCCGCAACTGGACAGTTTAGTTTCCACATGCGGCCAGGGCCAGCTGGCACTGCCACGAATCCCAGTGGCTGGTTGGGCATCCAGAGCTCGATGTCCACTGGGCACCAACCACAGGACAGGGATAATGCTGGATGGAATGGGTCAAGTGGCAGTGGCTGAAGCAGCTGTATTGGCTGCAGGCAGCAATTGTCTGAGAAATATGTATAATGCGTGGATTGCAGATAGACAGGACGTTGGTGTTAGGTGCATCACTAGTCAGGCAAAGGATTTATGAAAGGATTTGGCAGCACAGGAGCATGCGATGCCTCATGTTGAAAGCGATAATTTGCAGGTTGCAGCGGCTGCAACCTGAACGATTCCATAATTGCAATTTGGACTTCCTGCGTTCTGGGTGCCTGTTTTTGTTTGCGGATAGAACTTCCCCCATTGGGGCATTATTTTGAGATTTTGAGGCTCTGGAAGCGTTTGAGTAAACTGTCCTTTACAGCGCTGCGCAGGCTGAAGGGCCCTACAGTGTCGGATAAACACAATCTGGAGCTCGAATTCGAATTTCTGCTCAGCTACCCCTCCCCCACCCCCCCTGCCCTCCCCCCTTGGTTCGCAACGTCGCCTGCAGTCTCCATGCGTCTCCGCTGCTTTTTTAGGTGCTCAATCGGAATCGGAATTCCTCTTCCTGTCAGGAACGCAGAGGCCAGGCATTCCCAGCGCAAGTGGAAAACTGCCAGTATTCTTGGTGCAACACGACAGCACACTTCTGCTTTTGAATACTTTTAGCGAAGTGACGAAGCACCTTCCTTGCACCTCAGAAGTGAAGGCAATTGCTCCCTACGTAACAACGGCGCCTACCATGGCGGGAGAAGTTCACCTGCCGCCCACTGAAGGGTCCACTCCGCTCTGGCGGAGCGCAAGCGATGGATGTGCCACACCGACGCACAGCACCGCGCCGCAAAAAACCAATGGATGACGCCTGTGCTGATGCTCAACAGCGACTCCCCTGTAAACCATGCTGCACCACCATCCCGCCGAAATGCACGGAGCACCACCAGCGCCGTTGACTGTGTGGACCTGCCCTGGGAGCAAGGCGCTCAAGTGCCTCTGCGCCGCCGTTCGTGGTTGCCCGCCAGACGGGATACCGACGTGCTCACGCCACCTGGGAACCTGGGCCTGCTAAGGCTCGTCAGAAGCTTGCCATGGGGGCAACGGGGGTTTGGCAGGCCTCAAGGGAGGGCACTCAGCAGTGGGAAGTAGGCGAGACGGCGCAAAGTCTTGCAACCTTGTGTCACACCTTGACGAGGAATGTGCGGTGAAGGCGCCGGGGCACCATCCACAGCACAGCTGCCGAGGGCGACTGCCGAGGGTTGAATGCTCAGCCAACAGCTTTTATATTTAGTGTATTTGTAGTATAACGTTTGCGCCCCTGTTGACTTGGCCGAGCGGTCTAAGGCGCTGGAGTAAGGTTCCAGTCCGAAAGGGCGTGGGTTCAAATCCCACAGTCAACACATCTTTGCTGCGGGTCGTTTTTGGGTTGGTCCGGGGCCTCGAGCCTTGGTGAGCTCGGCCCACAGATGTGGCACTGCCGCGCTGCTTTGAAGGCTGTGCGTCGCCAAGGCTCCCGCCGATTCGCCAGCCTGCCACCAAGAAGTCACGCAAGTTAAGTGTGAACAAGCCAGTGCTAGGGTCCCTCTGCTGTGCGCGTGCCCGTTGCAACCTGCCTAGGATCAGTTGCGGATGGGGCTTTGGCCTCGCAACGAGTTTGGAATCCGACCTTGGACAGCCCAGGCGGGAACGGGCGCCTCCCGGCGAGCATCCTCTCCACCGTGCCACTGAAGTTTTGCGGTCGCGGTCGCTCAGTCATGAAGCAACGTCCGCAAAAAACTGCGGTTGCCGATCGGTGGTATCTTTGCAAAAGGTGCCGAGACGAGTGTGCTGGTCGCCCTGTCGATCTGCAAGCGGCGAGTTGGTCCTTGATCCCTGGGGTTTCTGTTGATGTACCGCTGAGACACGTTGACGTCGCGGTCAGTTGTCGGACGCAATTTGCTCCTTTGGTAAGCAAAGTGGCGTGGGGCAAAACTAAATTGGTGGAGGCCGTTGCCAAAGTTCGCAACGACTCGTTGGCAGCTCCTAAAGTAGGGCCACTGCCCGCCGACCCAGCAAAGCCCCGTCGAGTCTGCACGCTTGAAAGTAGGCCGTTGGGTCTTCTTGAATGTGCGCTCAGGGTGCACACACACCTTGGTACACGCTCAAACGCAGCCTGTGGACCAACGGGACCAGAACTGCCAAGGGGCCGGCTGGCATGAACACATTTTGCCACAGGCATCCCACAAATTGCTTGGCCTCTCGCCGATGCCCAACTCCGCCCTTTTTATACACAGAAACTATCAACTCCACTGACCTAAGAATGCCATTTCCAGGAGGTTTTCAGGACCTTCAAATTGCCGGCAATGTTGCCCCATTAATTTGGTGACTCAGCAGCTTGGCGTCAACACTATCCATGGCCAACCACTTTCCAATCGAGCTCATACCGTGGTGGGAGCTGTGGCCGTCCTGCGTGCCATCAGCTGCCAGCCTGCCCAGGAGCATGTCAAGCCCAATTGTTTTGTTTTCGTTCAGCCTCGCAGGACATTGTCCGATGTGAGGTTGTTTTAAAAATTTTGACGGATACTCTGTCCGAATTGAGGCGCTCTTGGCCGAAATTTGCCCGGCGTGGCTGCCATGGTGAATGGCAGCGACCTTTTGGCTGACAGAGTCACGCCCATATTCGTGACGGGCGCTGTTACGCGCACCAGCCTGATGTGGGAGACGTCCTACTAATGGCCCTTGGTGTGGGGGACGCCCTGCCCAAGGCACGTACTATTCCTCACCC